CTTCGGGATTTTCTGCAACGATGGTGGATGGCAGCAAGTTACCAGTGCACGGCGAAGCAGTGTTACACCTACAAATTGGACCACTGCGCTGGAGACCGGCACTCCCCATCACCAACATCAAAGGGCTTGACTTGATCTTCGGGCGAGACTTCCTGAAAAGATTCAACCCCGAGATCAACTGGGTAAACCGCACCGCAAGCATCTACAACAATGGACGGAGAGTGCAGCTACCCAACTGGGACGATACAGGAGATATCCCAGTGGAGACACTCGCACGATTCGAGAAGGACGTGAAACGAACCGACACCGGGTTCCTGGCAATAGCGACAGAGGTGGAAGACGGCAAGGAGAAGATCTCGGAACCTCCAGGAAAAATCAAGGAATTGCTGAAGGAGTTCCAAGACATTCTTCCTGACGACCTACCGAACGAGCTACCGCCATACCGCACACATCAACATGAGATCGTGGAGGAACCAGGTTCGAAGCCGACCTTCCGAGCACCATATCGGCTAAGTCCTACGGAGCTGACCGACATGAAGAAACAAATCGAGTACCTCCTGGCCAAAGGACTCATCCGACCATCTACTTCACCATACGGTGCCCCAGTACTCTTCACCCCGAAACCGGACGGAAGCCTGCGCATGTGTATCGACTACCGAGCTCTTAACAAGCAGACCATCAAGAACAAGTATCCGATACCACGAATCGATGACCTGCTTGACCAGCTTCGGGGAGCTACGGTATTTTCCAAACTGGATCTGCGGTCCGGATACTGGCAGATACGGATGGCGGACAACTCTATCCATAAAACTGCTTTCCGAACTCGGTACGGATCGTACGAGTATCTGGTAATGCCGTTCGGACTCACCAACGCACCGGCAACTTTCCAAGCCGAAATGAACCACATTCTACGACCACTTCTGGACGAGTGCGTGGTGGTGTACCTGGACGACATCCTCATCTACTCGCGCGACATGAAGCAACACGTCGAACACCTGCGACGCGTCTTCGAAATTCTTCGACGAGAACGATTCTACGTCAAACTGTCCAAGAGCGAATTCGCCCTTGAAAGGGTCCAGTTCCTAGGACACATGGTGAGCGCTCAAGGAGTTCACGTCGACCCCAAGAAAATCGAAGCCGTACGTACGTGGAAGACACCCGAGAACGTGAAGGAGTTGCAGCAGTTCCTAGGCTTCGCTAATTACTACAACAGGTTCGTGCCACAGTATGCGAAACTCGCGGCACCACTCACGAATCTGTTGAAGAAGAACACGCCCTACAAATGGGAGACGAAGCACCAGGAAGCCGTGGAGCAGCTGAAACAAGCACTAACATCCGCACCGGTGCTCATCTTGCCAGATCCCGAACGTGACTACGTCATTGAAGCAGACGCCAGTGATCAGGCCGTGGGGGCAGTCTTGATGCAAGACCAGGGGAATGGACTGCAACCAATTGCCTACCTCAGCAAGAAACTACACGGGGCAGAACTAAACTACCCGATACACGATAAAGAGGCTCTTGCTATTGTCATCGCCTTCAAAGCATGGAGATGTTATCTCGAAGGACGCAGAACAACCGTCTACACCGACCACTGCAGCCTGAAATACTTGAAGACACAACCTAACCTTTCCAGGCGGCAGGTCCGGTGGATCGACTTCCTCGAGACGCACTTCCACTACGACATCGTGTACAAGCCCGGCCACAAGAACAAAGCAGACGCTCTCAGCCGGCCTGCACACGTTGCCGCTATTCAGGCTGAAGGGATGAATCCACTACTCAAGGGACTCTTCACACACGGGTACGCCATCGACCCCGAAATTCCCTTGGCAGAAAAATGACACCTGCTACAGTGGGACAGTGACATCGCGTACCGGAAAGGATCAACGAAAATTTGGGTACCCAATTACCCTCCTTTGCGCCAGTTACTACTCGAAGAATACCACGACGTCCTATACGCCGGCCACTTCGGTAGCAACAAGACGCTGACCGGTATCGCGAAGCACTACTACTGGCCCCACTTGGCAGACGACGTTCAGAAGTTCGTCACCTCGTGTGATACATGTCAACGGATGAAGAGCAGTAAGCAGAAGAAAGCAGGACTGCTACAGCCTCTTCCCGTCCCAGAACAACCATGGCAAGTCGTTAGCCTGGATTTCATCACCGGGTTACCACCTACCACCAGCGGTCATGACGCGATCCTCGTCGTCATTGACAAGTTCTCCAAAATGGGACACTTCATCCCGACACACACGACAGCACGCACCGAGCAGACAGCACAGCTCTTCGTTCGTCACATCATCTCACAGCATGGCATCCCAACCACACTCATTTCCGACCGAGACCCCAAGTTCACCAGCAAGTTCTGGAAGGAACTTATGTCTCTGCTCGGCACCAAACTCGCCATGTCATCCGCATATCATCCGCAGACAGACGGACAGACCGAGCGCCTTAACCAGATTGTTGAGCAACTCCTCCGAGCAGCCTGCAAGGACGAGATCTCCAAATGGGACTTGCACCTGCCCGTCCTAGAGTTTGCCTACAACAACGCTACACACGCCGCTACGGGACAGACGCCGTTCTTCCTCTGCTACGGACGCCACCCACTCACACCACAGAAACCGCTAACACCAGCAACAGTCCAACCTGCACACGCCTTCATCACAACCATGCATCAGCTTTGGGATCGGACCCATAAGCGCCTCCTTGACATTCAACAGCAACAGAAGCGCCAGGCCGATCGCCATCGCAACGACCACACCATCACGGTGGGGGACCAGGTGCTTCTCGACACCCGTAACCTGGACATCAGCCATCTCCCATCTAAACTTCGACCTCGCTTCTGCGGGCCTTTTCTCGTTGAAGCACAGGTCACTCCTGTTACCTTCCGCTTACGCCTGCCAGCTACCTGGAAGATTCACAACGCCTTCCATGTCCAACTTCTGAAGCCCTATCGGGATCCTAACACGATCTTCGTCGGACGCCAACCGCCGCCGCCGCCACCCGTCCTCGTCCAAAATGAACCCGAATACGAGGTCGAGTCCGTGCTTGCACACCGCCGTCGTCGGAATGGTACCGTGGAGCTTCTTATTCGCTGGAAGGGTTATGATCCTTCTGAGGACAGCTGGGTCTCTGAGACCGACATGGGTAACGCCCGTCGTCCTCTGCATGACTACCTTGTCAAGCAGGGTGTTACTTCTACCACCCAGCTTTGAGGGGGGGAAGTGTGAGAGTACGACCTCGTTACACCACTTGGCCTTTTCCATATTTCATCTTCATTTCATTCCTCTTTTTATCTCATCTCTTGTGGCCTCATATTTCCCATTTTCCCTTATCCTTTGGTTTCTTCCTTTATTATTATTATATCACCGACCAGGCATGGAATGTTCTAGACACGCTATCTAGCGTAATCCTGCCGTAATCCCTTAAAGCCAATAGCCTCGCGTGGCTATACGCAGGGTGATTCTATTTTCTAGAAGGGTCTATTCCTTTAGATAGGATAAACCTGGTTACCTGATGTACTCTGGAAGTATAAAAGCGCCTTGTACTGATCGATAGTGCAATCGATCCTCGAGTCATTCGATCCTGTGACAGTCGCAGTCGGACCTCGCATTTAATGTTCTGCTTCAAACACGAAATGAATCGAGCTTTCTTCTCGGAGTCATGCATGTCGGTGATTTGGTCGCATAACACCATGAAGACTGACACGTAATCCTGGACAGAACTCCACTTGCGCCAGTTGTCCAGCTTCGTGCGCGCGTTGTCCGAGGCGGATATTGGCTCGAATCGTTCACGCAGAGCTGTACCCTACGCCTTCCACGTGCGAATCTTGGTCGATCCAAAAATCGCGGTTGACCCTTGGGCAACAGACCCAAAGTTTCCAAAAAACCCCTGTGTGTCGCCTGCCGAAAACTCCCCCTCATGTAGAGTATATCGCCACCAATCTAGCGCAGGTCCCCGCAGTAGTGATACAGCCAGTCGAATCTTTAAATCGTCAACAGTGATCCCGGCAGCATTAAAATAAAGTTCCGCCGAACATAACCAGCCCATAACATTAGTATTCTTATCTGTGGGGTTGAACGGGGGCGGCATTGTCGGTTTGATTGTCGCTGTTGTCACGATCGGCATAAACGCCGGTGCGGCTACAGTAGCGGCTGCTTCTGACCGAGCGGCTGCTGCTGTCGCTACTGCTGCTGCTGCTGCTCGTGCTGCCACGTCAGCTGCTGCGGCGGCTTCACTGTCCTTGCGCTCCTGTGACACCTGACGTGCGATTTCATCCAAGACGGTTTCGACACGTCCGGTGCTGACGACCTCCTCTTGGGCGGTAATTTTCTGACGCGAATCCTCTCGCGCCTGGCGTAACTCAGCAACTTCTGCACGAAGTCGCTCGTTGTCCTCCAGCACTGTAGCCATGCGTGTGTTCATGGCGTTGAACTGAGCTTGGTCCATTTGGCGAATGCTCCGCCGGGGCAGGGGGAATTCCGTCGTGTGCCTGTACTCAGGTAAGCGCAAACGCTATCGTAGTTGGGCGAATTAATCAATCTAATTCGCGAGCAACCGCTTTGCAGCTTGCGTGAGGGACCTACCCCCCCCCCCCAAAAAAATCAACTCACGAAAACGGGTGAGCGAGGAAAGTGGCTCTGAATACCAGGTGTTATGAATGAACAAGCAGAGTAGCGCGGAAATTAATAACGAGATGTTCACTCAATGAATGACGATACAAGGAATGGCAAGCCAAGATATAGGAACACCAGAGCTAGTCTAACCATGCGATGGGAAGTTTCGGGAAGGAGATCGAAGGGTCTAGAAGTGACGAAGCGAGGCCCGGAGAACTCCCGAAGGTCGAACCGAAAGGTCTGGAGAAGCCGAGGCGGTTCTGTCAGAAGGTCTGGAACAGTCCCGAGGCTTCAGGTGTGTTCGAGCGTACGCGATAGCAGTACCGCTCGGTAAGGAATGGAAAATTCCTTACACCACCCCCCCCCCCTTAGCGAAGGTGATCTATATCAGCGCGTTGGTATGGCTGTAATTCCTGTCACCGTCTAAGGTACAACGTCCTGGAGGTTTTGAGTCCTGTCAGGTGTGCCGTTCGAATCTGTCTCCAGCTTATCTTGAAACGCCTGAGCATGTCGCGGTGGAAAACCCTGACGTGGCATACTGTGATAAGAGGAAGCTCGTGCCACTGGCGAACCCTCGTTAGTACGCAAGCAGGGCTCCCCCTCGTTTGTAGGCGAAGCTTCGCTAGTAGGCAAGGAAGCCTTCTCAGTACGCAAGCATGTTTCTGCTTCGTTAATCGACAAGCAGGGCTCTCCTTCTCTAGCCGACAAGCAGGCGGCGCCCTAACATGCATAAATCGCGTTAGCTCGGCCATTCCTAACAACACTGTACACGCCGGTAGCAGGAGAGGCTTATCGCATGCGAAAATTGACGACAGAGCAGGAGTCGCACGATCCGGCGATGGCAACACGAGCGACGATAGATCACGGCAGGAGCGCGAGTCTTGGGAATGGCAACAGCAGCAGCGCCGGTGGCAGATGGATGCAGAACTCGAATCGACGGCGGGAGACGAGGAGAATGATAGGCGGCCTTCAAACCTCGGAGCTATGATTCCGCGAGGGGTTCCGTCGCTCAGCCATGGCGTAAGGTCGGGTCGAAAGCGAGCAGTGCGGTTTGATCCCGCATCAGGCGGGTTGGATATCAGGGGAGGGGAGGAATGCGGAGGTGACACTAACGAAGGTGAGAGAAGGGAAGTCTTAGCAGACGACGACACTGGGATGAGGAGAGGGGGAGGGTGGAGACAGAAAAATGGGAGGGGGGATTCACCCCGTTCTTTTCCCCGTTTCGTTGCACATTCCGCTGTCGCACAGGAGCGCAATGGAAGGGGGGAGGGGAGCGAAGGAGCGAAGGGCGGAGGGGTGTCGGAACTGCATGGGCAGAGGGGGGGAGGATCGGAGCGGAGAGAGACTGCAGCAGTGAAGCGTGGGCTCAACGAGCCAGGAAGGCTCTCAAAGGACGCAGCACGTGAATCAAGCATCACATTTCAGGCAGTTGCAGAGCAGGACGGGGATGAGCAGGACGAGAGCGAGGCGTACAAGATGGCGCGGGTCGAAGCTGTGCGGCTGCTGAGTCTCAAGTGAGTGAGTTCCCATTGCCCTTACGTGAAATGCCGTTTCCACCTTCGTGCTCCCAATTGGTTTTTAAGTGTGACGTGTTCTCATCCGAAGTCTCATCCCAGGGCTCCTCAGCTAGCCCCTGTCTTGGCCTCTTGTAGTTGTCCTCGTGCCTCTCTCTGAGCGGCTCTGAGCGGTTTTAGGAGGCAGTAATCAGATGCTCAGCTGTTGTATCGTTGAATATATTGTGTCCGTATGTACCACTATCGCAGGCAGCGGTCAAGGCTCAGGTGCTCTTCCTTTCACGCATTGACTTCCTCCGTACGGCTATGGCAGGCAATTGTCCGAGGCTCAGCTGCGGCAGAAGCTGAAATCCAACTTGACACAGCCAGAGAGGGCCCGGGGTTTGGCCAGAAGAGCGGGAACAAGACAGCCACGTGGCAGCATGCCGGTGGAGCAGGCTGATGCTGCCATTGATGCTGCCGTCACCTCCATGAAGCAGCTGTAAGCTTGTAGTCCAAATCAATCTTCGAACATTGCCGCATCACATTTTGCCATGAGTGCATGCGTAGTATTGTGTGCTGAGGTGTTTGGTTTGTGGTCATTCCTCTCCATGGCCCATGCATCGCTGCACCAATCAGGGGGTTTGTGAATGACACGGAGTATGCTGAAGCTTTTGCACGAGGAAGGTTCAACCGGCTAGCATGGGGTCCAGCGCGACTCAGAATGGTGAGCTCACTTCGTGTGTGTGCACTTCTTATGCCCTTATGTTAATCCTTCATCACTGATGTTTCTTTCACTGCTGATGCCACGGTGGTCATTCTGTGCTTGGCTTGGGTGACTGATTGGGGTTTTTTTTTACGCAACTGCTTCTCTTGCGTTGTTGCCCCGTTTTAGGAGCTGAAAAAGAGGGGGCTCAGCAGCAGAGATACTAACGCAGCAATGGAAAATATCTACAAGTCAAGCAGTGCAACTGAAGACGGCTTCAGTAACAGTGACGATATTGGTGACTTCGAAGAGCATGACCCTTCAAACCATGTCGGATTTAGTAAGGAGGCATGGCTTACATTGACTGCACAAGCTTCAAGAGTGTGGAGTAGAGGTTCTGATGTCCCCATTGAGAAGCGAAAGCAACGGTTAGTGGGCTGGCTACAACGGCGGGGTTATACCTGGGAGCAGACCTGGAAAGTTGTGAACTTCTTACAAAGAGAAACTTGAGTGACTCGTATTTTCCATTACAGATGTTTGCTCCATTAGCTACTTAGTGCGGTAGACTGTATGAATGGGTGTAATGAATCCAAAGTCCGCGTGGCGTCTGTCTCCCCAGCAGTTGGGAGGACACGTGGGCGTCGGTCTTCGTAACCCGTCAGCTTGCGCGACCACCACCTTGACGAAGCCCAACCTGCACTGCTGTCACCAGGCCAGCCTTGGCTTTCCGTCCGAGCCTGTACAACAAGGCGCTCCCGTACGTGGTAATTTCCCTCCTGGCTTGCGTGAGCCAGCTGTTGTCCCAACGACAGTGAGATCTAGTGAAGCATCTTATATCCAACGGCTGTCATCGTTTAAAAATCACTCGACCGCACGATGAGATCAGCTGAACCCGCCACGGTTTTCCCTCCCAAACCGAACCAAACGATGACGTTTTCCCTCCTGCCGAACCAAAGCTCACGCCTCGATCACCCAACACTCCCCTGAACCCCACATCTCATGAATCCCTGGATCCCCTGAATCCCTCTCTCCAAGTGAATGCCTGAGCAAAAGCAGGAATAAACATCCCAAGCTTGTCCTACGCACTCAGATTCAGGCTTCATTTTGGAGTTGAAGCAGTTGGCTTCCTCCTCATCCTCTCCCATCTGCCCAGTTATCGCTAATCTCTGTGCTTCTAGATCAGAAGCTTAGCCAGGATGGCTACTCCCGCTCTCACCGTCGAGAAGACGGCCTCTGGCCGCGAGTACAAGGTCAAGGACATGTCATTGGCGGATTTCGGCCGCATGGAGCTCGATCTCGCTGAGGTCGAGATGCCTGGCCTCGTCGCTTGCCGTGAGGAGTTCGGCCCTGCTCAGCCGTTTAAGGGAGCCAAGATCAGTGGATCCCTCCACATGACTGTCCAGGTGCGTTGAAATTTCCAAATTTGTCCTTCGCCTTGCGATATTTGATCGGCCTATTCTCCTCACTCACGCATGAATCGCCAAGATCATCAACGTATACACTTTCGAACATTGAGGCCTGACTTATTCCTTTTTCGGAAATTACTTATCCCTGCAGACTGCCGTGCTCATCGAGACCCTCACTGCACTCGGCGCGGATGTCAGATGGTGCTCGTGCAACATCTTCTCCACTCAGGACCACGCTGCTGCCGTTATTGCCCGGGATTCAGCTGCCGTGTTTGCCTGGAAGGGCGAGACCCTGTGGGAGTACTGGTGGTGCACTGAGCGCTGCCTGGACTGGGGTGTTGGCGGCGGTCCCGATCTGATCGTCGACGACGGTGGTGACGCCACCCTCCTGATCCACGAGGTAAATTTCACGGTGTTCTTTTTCTCCTTGCTTTTGGATGAGGTCGCTTCAGGTTTAGGGACTGTTGAAGAAATTTTACAGCAGATCGCAAAAAGAAGGGAATGTCTCTGACAGTAATATGTCGACATTGTTCCTTGCAGGGTGTGAAGGCGGAGATCGAGTTCGAGAAGTCGGGCGCTGTCCCCGACCCCGAGTCGACGACGAACCCCGAGTTCCAGATCGTGCTGACCATCATCCGGGACTCGCTCAAGGAGACGCCCACCAAGTACCGCGACATGGCCAAGCGCGTCATGGGCGTGTCGGAGGAGACCACCACGGGCGTGAAGCGCCTGTACCAGATGCAGCTCAACGGCTCGCTGCTCTTCCCCGCCATCAACGTCAACGACTCGGTCACCAAGAGCAAGGTAATGTCGTGAACATGGGTCGGGGGATTTCCGAGTGGGGATTGAGTTTCGTCAGCAATTAAATCATGGAGGGAACCAATTTCGTCTTCTTGCTTGATGAAGACCGTGACGCAACCCATAAACCCCTGGTATAAGTGTGACATTGAACGGAATTTAAATCTTTGATGCGTCCCTTGCAGTTCGACAACCTGTACGGTTGCCGTCACTCCCTGCCCGACGGTCTCATGAGGGCTACAGACGTCATGATCGCCGGTAAGACCGCCCTGGTGTGCGGATACGGTGACGTCGGCAAGGGCTGCGCTGCTGCTCTCAAGGCCGCTGGTGCCCGCGTTACAGTCACGGAGGTTGACCCCATCTGCGCTCTCCAGGCTGCCATGGAGGGCTTCGCCGTGAACACTCTGGCGAATGTCGTTGACCAGACCGACATTTTCGTGACTACAACTGGTAATAAGGACATCATCATGGTCAGCGACATGGTGAAGATGAAGAACAACGCGATTGTGTGCAACATCGGCCACTTCGACAACGAGATCGACATGGCCGGCCTGGAGAGCTACCCAGGCGCCAAGAAGGTGACGGTGAAGCCCCAGACCGACCGCTGGGTGTTCCCTGAGACCAACCGCGGCATCATCATCCTGGCAGAGGGCCGCCTGATGAACCTGGGATGCGCCACCGGCCACCCCAGCTTCGTTATGTCCTGCTCGTTCACGAACCAGGTGATTGCGCAGATCGAGCTGTGGAAGGAGAAGGACTCGGGCAAGTACAAGAAGGAGGTGTACGTGCTGCCCAAGCACCTTGATGAGAAGGTCGCCGCTCTGCACTTGCCGAAGCTTGGAGCTGTGTTGACCAAGCTGAGCCCTGAGCAGGCTGAGTACATCAATGTTCCTGTGGAGGGCCCTTACAAGCCTGCCCACTACAGGTACTAGACAAGATAACTACCTATTGCTTATACGCGTTTGGCCCGTTGCTGGGATGTTAATTGAAGCAAATTTCAAGCCTGCTCTGCTCGTACACACCACATGCATGTTCATTGAAAAGGGAGTAGTAGGCTAGCTGCAACGCGGCAGCTAAATAGCGACCCTGCTGGCTAGCTCTCGTGCATGTTGAATGCGTGGTAGTCAGTTTGGAAGCCCTAAACTCAGGTGTTTTTGGCAGCGTGAGCAATGGTCCCTCAGCACATCATTGCCACATCTGCATGGTTTTAAAACGTGAAACATGAATCTAACTGCAATCAAACAGAATATGTACACTCATTACCATGTCTCATCAATGCCACTTCTTTTCTACTTGGCAGTTGCCTCTAGTCTAGGTGCCCAATGTCAAACATGTGTAATTGTTATGTTTGCATAGACTGTATAGGGTCACCTCCTAGAGGGTACAATACTTAGGTATATCTATCTGTACTCTCCCTCTACCCATTCATCCACTTCTCTCAGTCTGATATGGTATCACGCGTAGGTTAGGATCCCCCCACCTACCGCTTCCGCTCGTCCCCTAACTGGGCCCCGTCGTGCCCCTAGCCCTGCTGCGCCCCTCCTGGGTCCCGGTCGCGACCCCCTGGGCCCCGTCGCGACCCCCTAGCCCCGTCGCGACCTCCTCGCCCCGTCGCGACCCCCTAGCCCCGTCGCGACCCCCTAGCCCCGTCGCGACCCTCCCGGGCCTTGCTGCGCCCCTCGCCACGTAGTGCCCCTCCTGGGCCCCGTAGCGCCCCTCCTGGGCCCCGTCGCGCCCCTCCTGGGCCCCGTAGTGCCCCTCCTGGGCCCCGTAGCGCCCATCCTGGGCCCCGTCGCACCCCTCTGTCAAAGTGAGAACGAATGATTACTAGAGGTGGAAACCTAGAACAAATACTAGTTGGTTGTACTCACTAGAAGCATACCTCAGTCTAGCCTATAACTTCTACATAGATAATATGTATAAGTTGACAGTACCGCAGCTGGATATGCTTCGCTCTGCCCTCAAGCCGAGGCTCCTGACACAGGAGTATCATGGCCCTGTTGTCAGCGTACAGGACCGGGGCAGAGCTAGGCCGCTCACCTAAGTCTGTGAGCAAGAAGGTCAGCCAGCGGAGCTCCTGTGCCGCCATGGCACCAGCGTAGATCTCAGCCTCACAGCTAGACTGAGCCACAGACGACGAGCGAGTGGATCTCCAAGAGATAGCACCCGAACCAAGGCTGAAACAGTAGCCCTGCAACGACCTGAGCGTCTCAGCGTCGTCTGCCCAAGAAGCGTCTGTGTGCCCAGTAAGGACCACTGGCCTGCGTCCTCCTAGCACTAACCCCATGCCTGATGTACTAGCAAGATATCGCAAAACCCTCTTAGCGGCCGACCAGTGCTGAGGTCGGTGTCTGCCTGTAGCCACAAAGCGAGCCAGGATGCTGAGAGGGTATGCGAGATCTGGGCGAGTGCAAGTCATCAGGTACATGAGGCAACCCACCAGCTCTGCGTAGGGGCCACTGGGCTCTACTGGCTCCTCAGGAACGGGAGCAGAGAGCCCATGGTCTACGGGTAGAGGTGTGGGCTGTGCGGAGGAGAACTGAAGACCGAACCTCTGAAGGACCTGACGCACCAAGTGTGACTGGGTCAGAGTGATGGTGCGTGCTGCTCTGTCCCTAGAGATCTGCAGGCCAAGATAGCGACGCAGCTCTCCAAGGTCAGTGCAGGTGTGTCTCTTCAGCAGCTCAGCCTTCACAGAGGCCAGTGCGTCCCTGTCAGCACTAGCGAAGACCAGGTCGTCTACGTAGACAAGGATGTAGAACGGAGTCTGGCCGGAACGCACAAACAGTGAAGGGTCAGCAGAGGACGGAAAGAACTGCAGGTCTGCTAACGTGGCACGTAGCGTGTCATGCCACTCGCGGGGAGCCTGACGCAGGCCGTAGACCGGGCGCCTGAGAAGCCACTGGGTCCCAGGAGGGAAGGTACCAGTGAAGCCCTGTGGTCGGCGCAGGTAGACCTGCTCGTGTAGGCTGCCCTGAAGAAAGGCAGTAGAGAAGTCGAGGGAGTGAAGCTCGTAGTCACGCTGTGCTGCTACGTGTAGCAGCGCCCGAAGAGTGGTCATCTTCGGGGTCGGGGCGAAGGTCTGGAAGAAGTCAACCCCCTCGCGCTGACTGAAACCTCTGGCCACGTAGCGCGCCTTGAAGACAGGCGGCTCTCCAGGGGGGCGCTTCACATTGAAGAGCCACCGACCATCGACTACGTTCACCCCAGGCGGGGGAACTGCGTCGACGTAAGTGCCGGTGGATCTCCAAGATGCCATCTCCTGCTCCATGGCAGCTATCCACTGAGAGGCCCAAGGTCCCGAGGTGGCCTCAGCGTAGGTGCGAGGGGTCGGGATGTCGAAGGCGTCTGGGTCACCCTCAGGGACTAACAGCATGGAGCAGAGATGGGGAGCAGCCTCGGAAAGGAAAGCCAGCTCGTACTGCCTGTCCTCTAGGACGTCACTGCCAAGGGCAGGAGCACCCCCGACGGACAGAGGACGGGCAGGGTCAGAGACCAGAGCGGTAGCGTAGTCAAGGCGGCGGGTAGAAGCGAAGTCAGCGACAGCAGCGACAAGCGCGTCAAGGCGCGAGACAGGAACAGCAGGGTCGGTAACAAGAGAGGGAAGGACCCGAGGGACAAGGGGACGAGCAGCACGGAGGTAGTAAGAGAACGGAGGAGGTGCAACAGCAAGGGACGAGGGAGGAGGGGACGGGAGGAGGGGAGGACGAGACGAGTGGGAACGGAGCAACATAGGGTGGGTGGGCAGGACAGGAGAGACGGGACGAGCACGGGAGGGACGGCGAGCCCAAACGTGAGACGGAGGGGTAGGGTCAGGGGACAGCGGAGGAGACACAGGAGGGGAACGAGGAGGAAGACGGGCCGGGGACGAGTCTGGCGGCGGGAACACAGGACCGTAGACAGGAAGGTCAGCAGGCGGTGGGGGAGACACCGGCGCGCGGTCCGGGGAGGGAAGGCCGAGCAGGCGGAGAGCGGAAACCGGCGGCGACGACGGCTGGGCCGGAACTCTCGGACCAGCAGAGGCAGAACGACCGTCGGCAGAACACTCAACAGCAGCACCCCCAGAATCAACACCCCCAAAGCGAGAACCCCCTCCAACACCAGCGGCACCCCCAGAAGCCGCAGGACGAACACCCTCCTCCACACCAGCACCCCCGGGGGCCGAGAGCGGCGGCGGAAGTGGCGGCAACGGCTGCGGTTTAGGGTTTAGGGCTCGTCCTCTCCCCTTATCTCTCGCATTCCCTCGCTCACTCACCGGCGCGCCCCCGACTTTGCTGGGGAAGCGATGCCGCGCGAGCGACCAGTCGTGCGACGGCTTCTGCACGAACCCTAGCAGCACCACGTCGTCGCCTCCGTCGCTCACGTCGTCGTCATCGTCGTCATCCGCCGTGACGTCCTCCTCAGCGCGCTGTGCGACACCGTCGTCATCCCCACCCGCGCGGCTCTCCTCCTCCACTCTGTCGCTGTCCCTCGCTCCCCGCGCCATCGGCGCGCAGCCTGACGAATCCGCAACTGTGAGCTGCTGAGGATGCTCCTCGAACATGGCTCAGAGGAAGCGGCGTTGTCCCTGCCGCCGTGAAAGCAAGTTGCAGCGACTAGGTTGGGGGGTGACACCGGCGGTGGGGGAGACACCGGCGAGCGGTCAGGGGAGGGAAGGCCGAGCACGCGGAGAGCGGAGACCGGCGGCGACGGCTGCTGCGGCTGCTGCGACGGCTGGGCCGCGACCCTCGGACCGGCAGAACTCTCAACGGCAGCACTTCCAGAACCTACACCGCCAGAGCGAGAACCCTCTCCAGCACCAGTGGCACCCCTAGACCCGCCGGGACAAACCACGCCAGGAGCCGCAGGAAGAACCCCCTCCTCAACGCCAGCACCCCCAGAGGCCAAGAGCGGCGGCGGCAGCGGCAGCGACGGCGGCGGCGGCGGCGGCGGCGGCGGCGGCGGCGGCGGCGGCGGTGGCGGCGGAGTCAGCGACTGTGACAAGGGAGGCGGAGACACCGGGGAAGGGGGACTCGGCAAGGACGGGGCGGGGGTACCACCAGAGTCAGCAGACTCCTCAACGGGGACAACCGACGGGAGGGGAGTGACGTGAGAGACACCAGACGGGGCAGGACGAGGCGGGGGAGGAGGAGGGGCGACCGGGGGAGAGGGAGCAAGGAACAGGGGCGTGGAAACCGGGAGACCTCGGTGAGGGAAGCGGCGGTAGAAGGAGACAGACTCGTCAAAGGTGACCTCACGAGAGTGGAGGAAGCGGTGGGACGGCGGGTGGTAGAATAGCCAGTTAGACGAGTGCAGAGGGAAACCAAGGAAGACACAGGGGACAGTGCGGGCAGTGAGCTTGTCCATGCGAGAGGCACGAACGTGAGCAAGGCAGCCCCAGACGTGGAACGCAGATGCGTCACCGGGGGACCCGGTCCAAAGGAGGGTCGGCGAAACCTGCGGCCGCTGGGAGCGGGGCCACAGGTTAAGCTGGTGAGCAGCGTAGCGAACAACGAACGGCCACAGAAAATGGGGGGCATCGGCATGAATCATGGAGGTGCGAGCAACCTCCATGACCAAGCCGATGCGGCGTTCAGCAACCCCATTCTGCTGTGGTGATTCCGGCAAGGTGTACGACTGGGTGATGCCCTCCGCACGACAAAACTGGCCAAGCCGACCAGAGGCGAACTCGCCGCCACGGTCAGAGTGGAGACACAATCCGGGGAGATCGCGGTGAAGACGCGCAGCAACAACCCACGGGAGAAGAACGTCGGGCACGTCGGCCTTCCGCTCCAGGGGAAACACCGTGGTGTAGCGCGTGTAGTCGTCGACGAGCACAAGGAAGTAGTGCTCACCTCGCGGTCCGGGGACGGGGGCAGGGCCCCAAACGTCCATGTGCAGTGTCTGAAGGGGGGCAGTAGCAGGGCGCAGCGAGGAGGAGTGAGGAGCACGGCGGAGCCGGCCCTCGACGCAAGGCGTGCACGGTGGCGCAGTCGAGGGAGGAAGGGCAGGGAGCGACGCAGGGAGACCTAAGACAAGACCGTGCTGGGACATGTGATGCAGACGTGGCAGAGCAGGGTGACCTAGGCGGTGGTGCCAGAGAAGGGACAGGTGAGTGAGTGACCGCTTGCGCGGGGCCAGGGAGGCGCGGCGGGGCCAGGCAAGCGCGGCAAGGCCAGGTAGGCGCGGCGGGGGCCAGGCAGGCGCGGCAGGGCCAGGGAGGCGCTGCGGGGCCACGCAGGCGCGGCGGGGCCAGGCAGGTGCGGCGGGGCCAGG